GAACGTTTTTAGGGCCCAGAATTGTTACCTCGCCCAGACCAAATTCTTACTCCACAACACAGAATTTGTTACTCGGGGAAACGAACTGTTACTGGGGCCCAGAACTGTTACTTGGGGCCACAGAATTGTTCTCGCACAGACACAGAATTGTTACCGCACAGACACAGAATTGTTACTGAGGGCCACAGAACTGTTTACTTGGGGCCACAAAACGTTAATCAGGGACCAGAATTGTTCTGAGGGCCACAGAACTGTTACTTGGGCCACAAATTTGTTCCTCGCACAGACACAGAATTGTTACTCAGGGACACAGATTGTTACTCGGGGACACAAAAACGTTAATTTAAAAGAGTAGTCAGACAACAGCGGGGGAGGGGCAGAGGGGGAAAAGTTTTAGGAGCGAGCAGACTGGCAGCAGCAGAAAGGGGTCGAGGCAGCCACTATTCGCACCAGAGCCAGTGCCCCTGTCATCCAGCGGTTAGTCGCTCCACCGCACAACCCCTGCCTGTCGTTCGATTGGTTGGATCGGGATCGTACTCCTCATGATAGTGGCACGCTGAAGAGCTACAGCCAACGGTCGGTGGCTACGTCAGACATACAAACCGTTAGTTGGCCAGGGCCCGTACCAAGCCAACGGATCTCGTGTCCGTCTTACCGCCCCTGGCCGTCGGGCTTTCCATCACCTCATCGCGTCAGTCATCTCGGCACCCTGCTGCGTTCGGGCCTCACCCCCACCTGTACAGTGAGGAGAGAGCTAACAGAGGCGGGCAGGAACGGGGGGAGACATCCGCCTTTTCAGCAGCCAGTCGAAGAAGTTATTGCGAGGGACAGTGGCTCTGTACTCGGCTCCCTAGACCCACAGGTCGGTCTCCTGACCTCCATGATCCGCAGCCGAGGGACTAGCTAGTGAGGCGAGAACACCCTAATTGATGTGTGATTAGAAGGCAGAATCAGCACCTTGGCAGCCTACGTCGACATCAGGCTAGTTTATTGCTCTCCGGCGTCATCATCAGGAGAAAGAGAGGTGGTGCAGCCTAGGCAGCGAGCAAAACAGGTCGGTGGGATTGTCTCGCAGGGAGATCCCGATTTCAGGTCTCCTCACACACTGCTGGTGTGTTGAATTTTTTGACATAGGGTGCGGCAGATTACGGGCCTCCCATAGCTGCTGCCAGGCCCCTAATCTGCCATAGGCCCCTATATACCAACCGCCTCCTCATGCTGCTGCCAGGTCCAGAGTCTCTCATGGGTCCCTGTACGGCCTCCCATTGCTGCTGTCTCCATCGCCACACTCTGCCATGTGCCACTTTCAGGTCTCCTCACACACTGCTGGTGTGTAGAATTTTTTGACATAGGGTGCTGGCAGATTACGGGCCTCCCATAGCTGCTGCTGCCAGGCCCCTAATCTGCCATGGGCCCCTATATACCGCCTCCTCATGCTGCTGCCAGGTCCAGAGTCTGTCATGGGTCCCTGTACGGGCCTCCCATTGCTGCTGTCTCCATCGCCACACTCTGCCATGTGCCACTTTCAGGTCTCCTCACACACTGCTGGTGTGTAGAATTTTTTGACATAGGGTGCTGGCAGATTACGGCCTCCCATAGCTGCTGCCAGGCCCCTAATCTGCCATAGGCCCCTATATACCGCCTCCTCATGCTGCTGCCAGGTCCAGAGTCTCTCATGGGTCCCTGTACGGCCTCCCATTGCTGCTGTCTCCATCGCCACACTCTGCCATGTGCCACTTTCAGGTCTCCTCACACTGCTGTGTGTGTTAGAATTTTTTGACATAGGGTGCTGGCAGATTACGGGCCTCCCATAGCTGCTGCCAGGCCCCTAATCTGCCATGGGCCCCTATATACCGCCTCCTCATGCTGCTGCCAGGTCCAGAGTCTCTCATGGGTCCCTGTACGGCCTCCCATTTGCTGCTGTCTCCATCGCCACACTCTGCCATGTGCCACTTTCAGGTCTCCTCACACACTGCTGGTGTGTTGAATTTTTTGACATAGGGTGCTGGCAGATTACGGGCCTCCCATAGCTGCTGCCAGGCCCCTAATCTGCCATGGGCCCCTATATACCGCCTCCTCATGCTGCTGCCAGGTCCAGAGTCTGTCATGGGTCCCTGTACGGCCTCCCATTGCTGCTGTCTCCATCGCCACACTCTGCCATGTGCCACTTTCAGGTCTCCTCACACACTGCTGGTGTGTAGAATTTTTTGACATAGGGTGCTGGCAGATTACGGGCCTCCCATAGCTGCTGCCAGGCCCCTAATCTGCCATAGGCCCCTATATACCGCCTCCTCAGCTGCTGCTGCCAGGTCCAGAGTCTCTCATGGGTCCCTGTACGGCCTCCCATTGCTGCTGTCTCCATCGCCCACACTCTGCCATGTGCCACTTTCAGGTCTCCTCACACACTGCTGGTGTGTTGAATTTTTTGACATAGGGTGCTGGCAGATTACGGGCCTCCCATAGCTGCTGCCAGGCCCCCTAATCTGCCATAGGCCCCTATATACCGCCTCCTCATGCTGCTGCCAGGTCCAGAGTCTCTCATGGGTCCCTGTACGGCCTCCCATTGCTGCTGTCTCCATCGCCACACTCTGCCATGTGCCACTTTCAGGTCTCTCTCACACACTGCTGGTGTGTTAGAATTTTTTGACATAGGGTGCTGGCAGATTACGGGCCTCCCATAGCTGCTGCCAGGCCCCTAATCTGCCATGGGCCCCCTATATACCGCCTCCTCATGCTGCTGCCAGGTCCAGAGTCTGTCATGGGTCCCTGTACGGCCTCATTGCTGCTGTCTCCATCGCCACACTCTGCCATGTGCCACTTTCAGGTCTCCTCACACACTGCTGGTGTGTGAATTTTTTTTGACATAGGGTGCTGGCAGATTACGGGCCTCCCATAGCTGCTGCCAGGCCCCTAATCTGCCATGGGCCCCTATATACCGCCTCCTCATGCTGCTGCCAGGTCCAGAGTCTCTCATGGGTCCCTGTACGGCCTCCCATTGCTGCTGTCTCCATCGCCACACTCTGCCATGTGCCACTTTCAGGTCTCCTCACACACTGCTGGTGTGTTGAATTTTTTTGACATAGGGGCTGCTGGCAGATTACGGGCCTCCTATAGCTGCTGCCAGGCCCCTAATCTGCCATAGGGCCCCTATATATACCGCCTCCTCATGCTGCTGCCAGGTCCAGAGTCTCTCATGGGTCCCTGTACGGCCTCCCATTGCTGCTGTCTCCATCGCCACACACTCTGCCATGTGCCACTTTCAGGTCTCCTCACACACTGCTGGTGTGTTCAGTTTTTTTTTGACATAGGGTGCTGGCAGATTACGGGCCTCCCATAGCTGCTGCCAGGCCCCTAATCTGCCATAGGCCCCTATATACCGCCTCCTCATGCTGCTGCCAGGTCCAGAGTCTCTCATGGGTCCCTGTACGGCCTCCCATTGCTGCTGTCTCCATCGCCACACTCTGCCATGTGCCACTTTCAGGTCTCCTCACACACTGCTGGTGTGTTCAGAATTTTTTTTGACATAGGGTGCTGGCAGATTACGGGCCTCCCATAGCTGCTGCCAGGCCCCTAATCTGCCATAGGCCCCTATATACCGCCTCCTCATGCTGCTGCCAGGTCCAGAGTCTCTCATGGGTCCCTGTACGGCCTCCCATTGCTGCTGTCTCCATCGCCACACACTCTGCCATGTGCCACTTTCAGGTCTCCTCACACACTGCTGTGTGTGTAGAATTTTTTGACATAGGGTGCTGGCAGATTACGGGCCTCCCATAGCTGCTGCCAGCCCCTAATCTGCCATAGGCCCCTATATACCCGCCTCCTCATGCTGCTGCCAGGTCCAGAGTCTCTCATGGGTCCCTGTACGGCCTCCCATTGCTGCTGTCTCCATCGCCACACTCTGCCATGTGCCACTTTCAGGTCTCCCTCACACACTGCTGGTGTGTAGATTTTTTTTGACATAGGGTGCTGGCAGATTACGGGCCTCCCATAGCTGCTGCCAGGCCCCTAATCTGCCATGGGCCCCTATATACCGCCTCCTCATGCTGCTGCCAGGTCCAGAGTCTGTCATGGGTCCCTGTACGGCCTCCCATTGCTGCTGTCTCCATCGCCACACTCTGCCATGTGCCACTTTCAGGTCTCCTCACACACTGCTGGTGTGTAGAATTTTTTGACATAGGGTGCTGGCAGATTACGGGCCTCCCATAGCTGCTGCCAGGCCCCTAATCTGCCATAGGCCCCTATATACCGCCTCCTCATGCTGCTGCCAGGTCCAGAGTCTCTCTCATGGGTCCCTGTACGGCCTCCCATTGCTGCTGTCTCCATCGCCACACTCTGCCATGTGCCACTTTCAGGTCTCCTCACACACTGCTGGTGTGTTAGAATTTTTTGACATAGGGTGCTGGCAGATTACGGGCCTCCCATAGCTGCTGCCAGGCCCCTAATCTGCCATAGGGCCCCTATATACCCGCCTCCTCATGCTGCTGCCAGGTCCAGAGTCTGTCATGGGTCCCTGTACGGCCTCCCATTGCTGCTGTCTCCATCGCCACACTCTGCCATGTGCCACTTTCAGGTCTCCTCACACACTGCTGGTGTGTTAGAATTTTTTGACATAGGGTGCTGGCAGATTACGGGCCTCCCATAGCTGCTGCCAGGCCCCTAATCTGCCATAGGCCCCTATATACCGCCTCCTCATGCTGCTGCCAGGTCCAGAGTCTCTCATACCCCTGTACGGCCTCCCATTGCTGCTGCTCCATCCATCAGTGTCTCTGCCATGTGCCACTTTCAGGTCTCCTCACACACTGCTGGTGTGTTAGATTTTGACATAGGGTGCTGGCAGATTACGGGCCTCCATAGCTGCTGCCAGGCCCCTAATCTGCCATAGGCCCCTATATATACCGCCTCCTCATGCTGCTGCCAGGTCCAGAGTCTCTCATGGGTCCCTGTACGGCCTCCCATTGCTGCTGTCCTCCATCGCCACACTCTGCCATGTGCCACTTTCAGGTCTCCTCACACACTGCTGGTGTGTAGAATTTTTTGACATAGGGTGCTGGCAGATTACGGGCCTCCCATAGCTGCTGCCAGGCCCCTAATCTGCCATAGGCCCCTATATACCGCCTCCTCATGCTGCTGCCAGGTCCAGAGTCTCTCATGGGTCCCTGTACGGCCTCCCATTGCTGCTGTCTCCATCGCCACACTCTGCCATGTGCCACTTTCAGGTCTCTCACACACTGCTGGTGTGTTAGAATTTTTTGACATAGGGTGCTGGCAGATTACGGGCCTCCCATAGCTGCTGCCAGGCCCCAATCTGCCATGGGCCCCTATATACCGCCTCCTCATGCTGCTGCCAGGTCCAGAGTCTCTCATGGGTCCCTGTACGGCCTCCCATTGCTGCTGTCTCCATCGCCACACACTCTGCCATGTGCCACTTTCAGGTCTCCTCACACACTGCTGGTGTGTAGAATTTTTTGACATAGGGTGCTGGCAGATTACGGGCCTCCCATAGCTGCTGCCAGGCCCCTAATCTGCCATAGGCCCCTATATACCGCCTCCTCATGCTGCTGCCAGGTCCAGAGTCTCTCATGGGTCCCTGTACGGCCTCCCATTGCTGCTGTCTCCATCGCCACACTCTGCCATGTGCCACTTTTGCCACTTTCAGGTCTCCTCACACACTGCTGGTGTGTTAGAATTTTTTTGACATAGGGTGCTGGCAGATTACGGGCCTCCCATAGCTGCTGCCAGGCCCCTAATCTGCCATAGGCCCCTATATACCGCCTCCTCATGCTGCTGCCAGGCCAGAGTCCAGAGTCTGTCATGGGTCCCTGTACGGCCTCCCATTGCTGCTGTCTCCATCGCCACACTCTGCCATGTGCCACTTTCAGGTCTCCTCACACACTGCTGTGTGTGTGAATTTTTTGACATAGGGTGCTGGCAGATTACGGGCCTCCCATAGCTGCTGCCAGGCCCCTAATCTGCCATGGGCCCCCCCTATATACCGCCTCCTCATGCTGCTGCCAGGTCCAGAGTCTCTCATGGGTCCCTGTACGGCCTCCCATTGCTGCTGTCTCCATCGCCACACACTCTGCCATGTGCCACTTTCAGGTCTCCTCACACACTGCTGGTGTGTTGAATTTTTTGACATAGGGTGCTGGCAGATTACGGGCCTCCTATAGCTGCTGCCAGGCCCCTAATCTGCCATAGGCCCCTATATACCGCCTCCTCATGCTGCTGCCAGGTCCAGAGTCTGTCATGGGTCCCTGTACGGCCTCCCATTGCTGCTGTCTCCATCGCCACACTCTGCCATGTGCCACTTTCAGGTCTCCTCACACACTGCTGGTGTGTTCAATTTTTTGACATAGGGTGCTGGCAGATTACGGGCCTCCCATAGCTGCTGCCAGGCCCCTAATCTGCCATAGGCCCCTATATACCGCCTCCTCATGCTGCTGCCAGGTCCAGAGTCTCTCATGGGTCCCTGTACGGCCTCCCATTGCTGCTGTCTCCATCGCCACACTCTGCCATGTGCCACTTTCAGGTCTCCTCACACACTGCTGGTGTGTTCAGAATTTTTTTTGACATAGGGTGCTGGCAGATTACGGGCCTCCCATATAGCTGCTGCCAGGCCCCTAATCTGCCATAGGCCCCTATATACCGCCTCCTCATGCTGCTGCCAGGTCCAGAGTCTGTCATGGGTCCCTGTACGGCCTCCCATTGCTGCTGTCTCCATCGCCACACTCTGCCATGTGCCACTTTCAGGTCTCCTCACACACTGCTGGTGGTGTGTAGAATTTTTTTGACATAGGGTGCTGGCAGATTACGGGCCCTCCCATAGCTGCTGCCAGGCCCCTAATCTGCCATAGGCCCCTATATACCCCGCCTCCTCATGCTGCTGCCAGGTCCAGAGTCTCTCATGGGTCCCTGTACGGCCTCCCATTGCTGCTGTCTCCATCGCCACACTCTGCCATGTGCCACTTTCAGGTCTCCTCACACACTGCTGGTGTGTAGAATTTTTTTGACATAGGGTGCTGGCAGATTACGGGCCTCCCATAGCTGCTGCCAGCCCCTAATCTGCCATAGGCCCCTATATACCGCCTCCTCATGCTGCTGCCAGGTCCAGAGTCTGTCATGGGTCCCTGTACGGCCTCCCATTGCTGCTGTCTCCATCGCCACACTCTGCCATGTGCCACTTTCAGGTCTCCTCACACTGCTGGTGTGTAGAATTTTTTGACATAGGGTGCTGGCAGATTACGGGCCTCCCATAGCTGCTGCCAGGCCCCTAATCTGCCATGGGCCCCCCTATACCGCCTCCTCATGCTGCTGCCAAGTCCAGAGTGTGTCATGGGTCCCTGTACGGCCTCCCATTGCTGCTGTCTCCATAGCCACACTCTGCCATGTGCCACTTTCAGGTCTCCTCACACTGCTGGTGTGTGTGTTGAATTTTTTGACATAGGGTGCTGGCAGATTACGGGCCTCCCATTGCTGCTGCCAGGCACGTAATCTGCCATGGGCCCCCGTACCGACTCCTCATGCTGTGACGTTGCAACAAGGTGGAATTCAACCCTACATATGTTAGACCGCCTTTACGAACAGCGAAAGGCCATCACCGATTTCCTGATGTTAAAAGCGGATAAAGGTACTCCCTGTGTAACTTAGATGTCAGCCATTGGCAGCTCATGCGTGACACCTGCGCTTGCTCAGGCCCTTTGAGGAGGCCACGCTATTCGTGAGTCGGCAGGACTATGGGATGAACGACGTCATTCCTCTGTTGCACGTCCTGGAACAAATGCTGTTAACAATGGCTGGGTCAGGGTGCGGTAGACGTGGCGCACAGATCTCAACGCCACATGACCCCTGTGGGGGCAGGACAGGAAGAAGAGGAGGAGGTAGAGGAGGACATTGGTGCTCAGGAATTATTGAGTGAAATGGGTGGTTTTTCCACTCAGCGGACAGGAGTGGAGGAGCAGGAGCATCTGGTAGAGGAGGAGGAGGAGGAGACAGAGGACCCAGACGCACCGTGGCAGTATGCTGTGGAGATGGAGGCAGGGGAGTCCCTCGCATTCCTTGGCACAAATGGCCCATAGCATGCTCGCTTGCTTGCGTAGCGACAGCCGAATAATAACCATCAGACAGAGGGATGACTTTTGGCTGTCCACCTTGTTGGACCCTCGCTACCGTTCAAAAATGGTGGCCTTTTTCACACCTGCTGAGAGGGAGGCCAAAATAACGTACTAAAAAAACCACCTATGTAGTCAGCTGGTCTCTGCCTGTCTGCGCCAACGTCCATCCTCAGACACACTGTGGGCCCTGTGCGCTCGCGTTCCGCTGCCATGGCAGCAGGGGAGGGGTGGGGTGGTAGGAGCAGTGGCAGCTCCACCAGCAGCGGCTGCCTCAGTCTGCAGTCGATGATGAGTAGCTTTCTTCACCAGCGCAGTGAGGAAACTACTAACCAGCCCGCAGCAGCAGCAGCAGCAGCAGCATCAGGTGGACCTGGAGCAGGACCTCAAACAACAGGCTTAGGCCTACTTGGACAGCACCCTGCCAACCGAGGTAGACAATCCCCTTGACTACTGGGCAACGAAACTTGACCTTTGGCCCCAACTAGCTGAATTTGCCCTTGAAAGGCTGTCATGCCCGGCCAGTAGCGTGGCATCGGAGCGCGTGTTTAGTGCGGCAGGAGGTATTGCAACTCCGCGGAGGACACGACTGTCCACCCAAAGTGTGGAGAGACTGACGTTTGTGAAAATGAATCAGGCGTGGATTAGTCTGGATTTCAAACCGTTCCTGACACAACTGACTAAATCCGCCATGAATCATGCCCCAAACATGTGCCACTTTCAGGTCTCCTCACACTGCTGGTGTGTTCCATTTTTTGTCATAGGGTGCTGGCAGATTACGGGCCTCCCATAGCTGCTGCCAGGCCCCTAATCTGCCATGGGCCCCTATACCGCCTCCTCATGCTGCTGCTGCCAAGTCCAGAGTCTCTCATGGGTCCCTGTACGGCCTCCCATTGCTGCTGTCTCCATCGCCACACTCTGCCATGTGCCACTTTCAGGTCTCCTCACACTGCTGGTGTATTCCATTTTTTGTCATAGGGTGCTGGCAGATTACGGGCCTCCCCATAGCTGCTGCCAGGCCCCTAATCTGCCATGGGCCCCTTCACACTGCTGGTGTGTTCCATTTTTTGTCATAGGGTGCTGGCAGATTACGGGCCTCCCATTGCTGCTGCCAGGCCTGTAATCTGCCATGGGCCCCCGTACCGCCTGGTCATGCTGCTGCTGGGTCCACAGTGTGACATGGGTCCTTGTACCGCCTCCCATTGCTCCCACTGCATGTGCCACTTTCAGGTCTCCTCACACTCCTGCTGGTTTCCATTTTGTCATAGGGTGCTGTATGGCCTCCCATTGCTGCTGCCTCCACCGCCACACTGTGGCTCCACACTCTGGTTTTGGCCCCGTGACTGCCCAAATGAGTGAAGTGTGCGGTGATTCTAAGATCGACGGCACTCATCTGCATGTCATACTGACTGACAGTATTATTTTCTCTTCCCCAGCAGACTCCAAGGGCATTTAAATTAAAGGTACAGTGTTCTGCACTAATATAAAGGCTCTCTGAAGCCTAGAAACACCCTTTTTAAGTTAAATTCGCAGCGAATATATTCGACTCGAATCAAAATTTTTCCACGAATTCGCCGAATCAGTCGATTCGAATTTTTGAATACTTCGCTCATCTCTAATTACACCAAAGCAGCTGAAACTGATTAACAACCCCCTCTGCTACTTAACTTGACCAGATCAGTATCCCAGGAGTTTAATTGACTTGATGCTATACTCTGATTAAAATGTGTTCCTTTGATTTTTTTGAGCAATGTATAATGGCATCATGGTTGCCTCTTGCAAACAGTCATAAACAGGGGTGGACTGACAACTCATGGGGCCCCCAGGCAATAGGGATCATGGGGCCCCTGTGTCCCTTGCCCAAACTCAAAAAAGCCTATGAAAAAGGTACCAGGGGCATCTCATGGGGCCCCCTACTGACCCTGGGCCCTCGGGCAGTGCCTGAGTTTCCAAATGGTCAGTCCGCCCCTGGTCATACATGCTCTGCTCTTCACTTCTCACCTCAGCTCCACTGTCCAAAGATTCCAGCTTCAAACAGTCCATGACCATCTGAAAACCGTAAACAAGACGTAGAAAATGGAGTCACTCAACTTCCAAGAGTCCAAGGTGAGTTTTTAAAGTTACTTGCCTGTAATTGGGTAACTTAATAAACTCTACCTGGACTCTTAGGAGTATAGCGACTCTATTTCTACTTCTTCTCTCATGGTTGATGTATTGTTTAAAGAGCTCATAAAAATAGGATATTTTCCAAGATAGGCAGTTTTTGCTGTTGCAGTCTCAAAAGCTTTATGAAACAAGGAATTTTCCTAAAGAAAAAAAAAAATAATAAGGCTTCAAAACAAAAGTAGACACGAACCATGCATTTTTGCTCTGTGTTAAGAGCTGCGGGCACATGCACAATGCGACTACCACCTGTTTACACAGCAGGGCATTTTTTTGCAGAGCTGGGTGCAGGACAGGTGCTGTGCCACTAGATAATTCATCGTAGGGTTCCTGAAGGCCTGTCCTGTCCCCATTAGTTTTTCTCATATATCCGCCAACATAGGGTAATTATGTCTCCTCGAAGCAAAACACAGAAATATGCTTATCTCAACTCAGCTAATTGTATCCCTGAGCTTAATCCTTTGCTTTTTTTGCCGCTGTGTGAATGTTTTGGACGGAGCTTTTTGGCTGAAGAATGGCTGTAAGCCTGAAGCATCGTTAATCCTGCTGTTCTGCATGGTGCGTATTTCCAGCAAGGATCAACATGCAGGAAAAAAAGAGCAACTACTGGATTACATAAATTCCTCCTTCACTCTGCTCTCCTCCCATCTGGGATTTCACAGCAGCTCTGTTTGTTTCGGAACCTCGGCATGCATTTAAGACTCCTGGTTGCTTCTTCTCCACTCCGAAAAAAAAAGTCAATCCCTCTCAAGCCGATGACTTAGCTTAAGTCCACCTGGCAACAGGAGGAACTCCACTACCCTGTGGTGGATTATGTAAAAAAGGACTAAAATATTATCACAAATTAGCACGAGGGCAGGCACAGATTGTCCGGTCGCATGATGGAGAAAAGGAAGTAAAAAAAAGTGTAAAAGTGTCAAATATTGTACGATGAACACTCTGTGTACAGTTAAATGTTAAATCCAAAAACCCCACCCCCCCTTTAAAAAAAATCTGTAAAATTCATCATCTAAAGCGCTTAAAATGTTGGGGCTTTTATATTATTTTTTGAAATGTGCAGATATTCATGGAAATCAAAATCCACATCGTGATCCTGGCCATGAAGGGTCCTTGATCAAACGTACTATCTCTCGGTGTGGGGTTACAACTGGTAGTTCCAAAAACAATTGAAATCCTTGGTTTGTACACCTTTTTTATTGTGTGCTATCAGCTGTGATCTGTGTAGGCAAAGTCGCTTGCATATATGACTACCTAAGAAGGGGATGACTATCCACAGACGCTTTCATGTTTTGGCTTAAATAGGAATCAGGTCGGCTCTAAAAAGTGTATATTTTAGTTATAAGTGTAAGAGTGGGCTGGGTGACCTGACGAGAGTTTCAGTTTATATACTATTTATAAGGGCTTGTAAATGGGTTTAGTTCACCCTAACTCCGCCTATGGCGAGGTAAAGGGGTCAGTCACAAGTGGCTAATGATGGTTAGTACTTCATCCGCCTGCAGTACTAGAGGGTCAGCTTGGTTGGTAATATCGCCAGTCGCTAACAGCATCATCTGCTATCATGTCTTTGGATTTGGGCATGTTCTTGCGCGCTGTACGACATGTGTGGAGTTTCCTCCGGGTATCTGTGATTATCAGCCTGGTCCAACACTTCCAAATACATGCTGGTAAGGATTTAGCATGTTTTTTATTTTTTTTTTTTAATCACTTTACATCTACATGAAAGATTTACCTCCCCGCTCTTCCTGCATGACTCAGAAACCACTCATTCTTGGGCAGTATGGTGGCTCCTGCGTTTGACTTTAAACTGAACAATCTGCAACGGCTGCATAGTCATCTAAAGCTGGGCACGCTAGCACCAAACTGAAATTTATATCCTTTTTTCCCCCATAATATTTGAGTGTTTTTCTTTGCGGTGGTATTTTATCTGCCTGTTCGTGTTTTCATTTTTTGCGCTATAACGCCTCACAGACAAAAAAGTACAATTTTGGAGAAAAAACAAAAAACTATATTTTGGACTTTGCTATTAAACTTCGGCAGTACATAAAAATAAAAAAAAAATCCTAATTTCTTCATAAAATTTTAGGCCAAAAATGTATTCTGGCTGCTCCATGTCCTTGTGCTAAAACTAAATTGTCAATACTGAGTAACATAGATAGCTTCGGTTTAGGTCAGTGAAAGTTTAATCCCAGCGTTAACAAATGGTAGTGTAATATATAACAGGAGAGAGGTTTTTTTTTTTTCACCTAGGTAATGGGCGGCCATTCAGGCGACTTATACGGGACTTTGGGTGGGTCAGTCTCCTGATAGCTGGGAGGGGGGGACTGACTAACATGGCCGGACTGACAGTGCAACCCAAGTGGACCCACTAACACTTGCGTCCGGGACGCGGCGATGGTCAACGACCGTTAACAGTGCTACATAAAAAGCAGCTTGACGACTGTACTAAATGGCACTGAGCAGGAAGGGGTTTAACATCTGTGGGGATCCTAACAGAGTTAAGCTGTGTGCATTTTGTGTTTTTAAAATATGTACAGCATGCTGCTGGTTGTATTGCTGTCTGCTGTATGGCAGAAACAATACAAAGCAGCATGGTCAGTGTGCTGAGCAGGGCATGAAGAAGCTGTATTGTTTACATTATCAGGACGGCTTCTCCTCCAGTCAGTCGCCTCAGGTGCCCGTCGGAGGTTCGGGGCACCTGATGAATGACAGGCTGTAGTCGTCCAAGATTAGGGGATCCGCAGCACGAGGTTAGGGGGCAGCGCACGGCACTGGTGCCCATCCTAAAACAGGAGCGGGCCAATGGCAAAATCAGCGGGATAAATGAGATTATTTAACGCAGGGCCCGTGTCTGCCCTGTAGTATGTATGCTTATGTTTCACTGGTAGATACCCATGTATATGGTTAGTTCTTGGGCTATATGAAGTTGTAGGTGAACGCGGTTAAATGCAGAGATGGCATGGGCGCAGGAGAAGGGCACTTCACAGTGGTCTGTCTCCAAGAGCGCTTTGGTTGATTCCCAGTGCCTAAAAAGGGAGACTTCTTGGTCAGGATGAGCTGACTCTCCCCCCCCCTACGCCTGTCCCATTCATCTGGATATATTTGCCGGTGCTGGCTACAGTCAACTTATCCTGTCGATAAAAAAAGACAGGGGTATCCCTCTCCCCTATGACTAAGACACATAGCAAATGAGCGGCTTCCGCACAAGGAACCTGGGGGGTGGAGACTTTTAAAGGCACGTGGCTGACCTAAGTATGGAAGGCCACCAGAGTCATCCTAGACTGCAATGTAGCCAAATGCGGACGCCTGTTGTCCAGTGGACCAAGGAAACCAGTTTCCGGCTGACTTCTCCTCCAGGGGCTGCTGTGTAGCCAGGACTCAGGTATGAGCGGCAAACACCTACTAGAGAAAGAAAGACAGACCTGACGCACTCTGCGCTTAGCAGGCCTGACCCAATCACAAGCTTTGGCTGAATCTTAATATAAAGCATCACTGTAGAGGTGGAAGCCTGCGTGTATACAAAGGCGCTTATAGTAGATGAACTGTGCTATGTCTCGTCAGAACACCCCCCCTGATTCGGTTCACGACTTCCGAAAGGGTTGAACTTTGAAGCGAAATCGACCCATTGGACAGTCCACAAACAGGGAGACAATAAGGGGGGCAACTTCACTAATCAGTTCTTACCGTACTAAGCATCTGGGTATTATGTGGACTTAAAAAAAAAGAAAAATCGAGCTTCATGCTTATCAACGCTGGGATCCTGCCATCAGCTGACAGGCTGGCATGCCGAGGCCTGGACAGCTCATGTAATC